GAAGTTAAAGCTGTCTTGGACGAGATCATACAGCTTCCAGAATTAGCCTTGGATCTTTCCGAGGCAGAGGCTGAAAGACTTGTCAGTATCAAAAAACCATTGGAAAAGTTGCAGGCTGTTATTGTGGAATACAAACGAGCTGCTTGGAAGCCCGAACTTCTAACCCAACAAGAGTCTGAGCTGAAACAGGCTGTTGCTGCATTGCAGCAGACTGTTGAAAGTATCGTTCTGGTTCCTTCTGAAGCTCAAAGCGCTCAGCTTCTGTACGCACCCCTCACTGCATTATCAGCGACTTTAACCACAGTGGAGGGCAGCAGCGCAAAAGAACTTGAAAGTCCTAAGATATCCGAAGTCACATCGTTGTTGGAAGCAGTTAAGAAAGTTTCTTCTGATATTCAATCTTTGAAACAAGAGACTACAGACATCAGCGTTAGTCCTCAGCAAGCTTGCATCCAACAGATTTCTGAACCGGTAAAATCAGTTGAAGTTGCACTCGAACATCTAATAGCTGCCGAAAACATTGTAGATGAAGACCATCAAAAGCTAGTTCAAATCAAAAAACCTCTGGAGAAATTGAGTGCCGTGATATGCCAATGTAAAGAAGCTCTCTTGAGACCTGAAGTTTCAAAAATTGCAGCATCTGAAATGCAGCAGGCAATTTCGTCTCTAAAAGAAAGTTTGGATGCCGTTCTGCAGATCCCTTCGGAAGCTACCAATATTAAAGTCTTAGAGCTACCATTGAAAACCCTTTCGGCATCCCTAGGGCAGATCGAGGTCCTAATGGAGGAAACGTCGGCAAGCAAACCTGAAAGAAACGACGTAATCGCTGCTAAGCTGCTACAAGAAAGTATTAAAGAAGTTTATCAGGAAATTCGAGTTCTCAATCAAGAGATCAGTGCAATTCCTCAGCAGGCTGGCTTCGAGGCGATTTGCGAACCAGTGAAACACATTGAAGCTGTTTTGGAAGAAATCATACAACTTCCAGAATCAGCCGCTGATTTATCTGCAGCAGAAGCTGAAAATCTTGCTGATATTCATCTGCCCTTAGAGAAGCTAAAGGCTGCTATCATTGAATCCAAACATGCGGCTCTAAAGCCCGAACTTCAAGATCAACAAAAGTCCGAATTGAAACAAGCGATTGCGACATTGAAAGAGAAAATCGATAGGGTTATTATGAAACCGTCAGACGCCCAAAGTGTGAAACTTCTGGAAGTTCCATTTAAAGCATTAGCAGCAACATTGAGCGAAGTCCAGAGCAGATTTTCCGAAAAACCCGACCAGAAAGAGTTATTGGAGGCTCTTAGAAAAGTGTCTTCACAGATTCTAGCTTTGAATCAGGAAGTCAAAGATATCAGCATCACCCCTCAGCAGGCTTGCATTCAGAAAATCCAACAGCCAGTAAAATCTGTGGAAATGGCTTTAGAGCAATACATTTCCCAACCTATAACAGCGCATCAGATTCCCAAAGAAAAAGTCCAGCTTTTCGATCAGATTAAAGAACCGCTGGAAAAGTTGAGCGCAGTTATTTTGCAATGTAAAGAAGCAGCCATAAAACTTGATGTTTCAGAACCCACTACATCTGAAGTCAAGCAATCGATTACAGCTCTGAAAGAAACAGTTGAGAAGGTTATGCAGGAATCTTCAAAAATTAAAGGATCCACACAAGTAGAAATTTCTCTGGGATCTTTGTCAGCCAGCTTGAGCCAAATTCAGGAAGTTTTGGACGAAGAACCAAAAGCTGAAAGGCGAGACAAGTCCATTGCGAATACCTTACGGGAAGCCGTCATGCAGTTTTGTGCGGAACTCCACTCGTTTAGGCAAGATGTATCAGAGGTGCCTCAACAGACAAGTTTACAAGAGGTGGAACCATCCGCTAACCTAGTTGCAGCAGCTTTAGAACAAATTGCCAAAGCCCCACTTCTGGGTGAAGATTTATCTTCGGAAGAAGAGCGGCGACTGGTCCAGGTGAAAGAAGAACTGGAGAAGCTCAATGTTGTTTTGGCTCAATCCAAAGAAGCAGGTTTAAAATTAGAAACTCAGCACCAATCTGATCTTAAGGGCGCTATCGCCAGCTTAAAAATCGGAATAGAGAGAGTTACTCAGCTTCCGTCTCAAGCCCAAAGTTTGAACACGTTAGAGCAGCCTCTAAAAACGTTAGCTGCGTCCTTAGGGCAAGTCGCCGATGCTGCTAAATTAGTTAAACGCAAAAACAAAAAAGCAGCTCTGTTGCTGCTGCAATCAATCAAAAACATAGCGGCAGCAGTTGAAGCTTTAAAGTCGCGCGTTCCGAAGCCCCAACAGTCAGTGGTTCAAAAAACTGAAGACTCAGTAAAATCAGTTCAAAGTGCATTGGAGCAGCTGACCGAAGTTCCAGAAACTGTAGAAGATTTCACTGAAGAGGATGCGCAATCAATTATGAAGATACAACTGTCTCTTGCAGACATTGAGGCGGTTCTACAGCAGATCTGCTTAGCGCCACATGAGAAGCCCGAAGATGTAGAGCTAAGGGTCAAAGTGAGTCAAGCAGTTGCTTTATTGGAGCAAAACATAGCTGCGCTTCCTTCTCGTTCTCGAGTGTTACAGCCACCCTTCGCAATATTAACAGATTCCTTTAAGCTACTAGAGAAGGCACTGGAGTCCACATTCTCAAATGAAACACCAACAGAACCTGACACACCAAAAGCCTTGCCAGTAGATAAAAAGTACTTGAAACTGGTCCGAGACTTGGCTATGCCCATTGGACAGTTGCTAGAAGAAGCTAAGATTCTCTCTGCAAATTCTGCATTGGTAGAGCAGCTGAAACAGCTTGGAAGCTTTAGGGCGCCCTTGGAACACCTGGGCGAAGCTTTCCAGTTTGTTGAGCACCAATCCAAAAAAGGAGTATCTGATACCATAGCTGAGAATGTTTACGAAACATTGCACGATTTGATTGGGCCCCTCGAAACTGTGCTTATCGAAACGGTTAAAATAAACTCTTTAATGGGACACCTAGCAGACTGCAAGAGCCTGGAAAGAGTCCTCAAAAGCCTTGAGACCAGTCTTGAACAAGCTCTGTTGCTTCCGGTTGAGTCTGTCCTTTTAGAAACCCTCTTCATACCGCTTCAGGAGTTCCTTCAGGCAGTAGCGACCAGCAAAGCTTTCCTAGTTGAAGCTGCACTACGGGAGAAGCAAATGAAACTAGCATCTCTTCTGCAACCATTTGTGAGCGTTAGAGATGAATTGAGCAATTTAAGTCAGGAATTATCGCATGCCTCTAATGTTAACATGGCTGTGGGTGGTATCTTCGATATCAAAAAGCCTCTGGAAGAACTCATGGAAAACATTAGACTGGCGGATAGTAGCGATGATACCCAGCAAGCTCTGCTGGATAGCTTTATTGAGGAGGCCAAAGCTCCCTTGAAGCGAATCGAAACAGCCTTATGCTTGATCAAATCGAGCTTCGCTACTCCAGAGGTGCTCTCCTTAGAAAGAGCCCAAATATGCGGCTGCCTTAAAGAACAAATAGCCTTTATTGACAACGAAAACATGCAAGGAAAGTTTGCTCCCCTGCATCTAGAGGCAAGCCTAAACGAGCTCAAGCTCCCTCTAGGAAGAGTTGTGGAGGAGTTTAACAAACAGAGAAACGACTATATGGCTTTAGCAAATCTGACTAAGTCTCTCCGCAACTTAGCCAGTGGCACATCAAAAATAAGCACCAATGCAAAAATCTTCAAAGAAATAGACGAAGAAAGCTTGCTTAAATTCGAAAGCCTGGTCGAACCGGTAAATGTGTTCCTTGATAACTTGCAGCTAACTGAAGAAATAGCAGATAACACTGCAGACTTCAACCCGGAATACTCGGCAAAAGTGAATGATTTAGCAGACCAATTGTCCAGCATTTCCATATTCTTAGACGATGTTGCATCCCAGCCCCAATCAGCGAAATTACTTGAGAAGAAAGAGCTAAATATTGCTGCCATGTTGAAAGACTGCAGAACCAACATTGAAAATATAAACGCAACAGTGTCGTTGAATGAGAAAATGGAGATCCTAAAACAAGCTCTGGAAATGTTTCAATTGAGCGTTGAAAATTTGAGAAAAGAGTTCTTCAAAGTGGGGATGCAGAAGAGAAATGACTTTAAGTTATCTAAATCGCTGGAAAAACAACTAAAAGACCTAACAAATCATTTGTATCGGGACACATTTTTATATAGAGCAACAAAGCCTTTGAATAAATTAATGGACAAATTGTCAGCATCAAGGAAGAACTTGCTGCAGGGCAATGAGGATTCTGTGCCAAATGACCTTCCAGAGGAAGAATCAACACAGCTGCATCTTGAAGAGGAAGTAGAAGCATTTAGGGATATCGTGAAACATATCAAATCTGAGGATGACTTAATTCCTCGAAAGGGTAACCTCAAGCAGTCTCTGAAGAAGATCGACACGCAATTAGCAAAAATGTCCACAATGGTTGCTTTATCGCCAACATTGATGATCGTCTCCGAAGAACTAGCTATCCTGAAAGAAACCCTTAAAAGTATTGCAAAAGACATTGATGAACTAGGGGATCAAGTCGAAGAAATACTGGTTATTCAAAATGACAATGATGAACCAGAAATTAAAATAGAAGATGAAAAGGTCCCCGAGGGTGTTGAATTAATTCTGCAGTCTGAAGAATCCCGGTTGAGCAACGAAAAAACTCCAATAGCTGTAGAACAAGCGGAAGTAGTGATCGAAAACAAAGTAGACGAGCAAATTAAGCGTGAACTCAAAGCGGACAAGGAAGGGGTACCAGAGGAGGAAAAACTAACGATTAAAGCTGAAGCGGACAAGAAGGAAGATGATACTGATATTGAAACTAGAAAAATTCAGGACGAAGCTGATGATAAAGCAATGAAGACAAAGAATGACGCTGAGCTTCAAGTTCAAAAGCAAATTGAAGAAGTGCAGGCTAAAGAAGAGAAGGAAAATGCTGATGTTGGAGCTCACAAGAAGGACAAAGATGTTGGGGATAAAGCTAAACAGGAAATAGACGATGACGTTAAAACTAAAAAAGAGAAAGAAGAGGAGGAAGCTAAAGTTACAAAAGCAAACAAAGACGATAATCTCAGATTTGAAAAACAAATGGAAGAAAATACAGAACTGGATGTTAAAACAGAGAAGAGCAAAGAAGATGTAGATTCTAAAGTTAAATCACGTAAAAAGTTGACAGAGGAAGAAAGCATCGAAGCAAACGCTAGACCAGAAAAGACTGATGATAAAGATAGTCAAGAGAAGATGGGAGAGGAAACTGAAATTAGAGAAGCCAAAGAAGAACGGAATGTTAAAGACCAGAACAAAAATGAGGAAGAGCAAACTGAACTTAAAATGAAAAAAGCAGTTGCTGATGCTAAAGCAGAAAATGAGAAAGGAGAAACTGAAGATAAGATAGCAACAGGGAAGCAAGATGCAGAACTTAAAGCTGAAAAACAAAAGAAAGCGAAGGAACCTAAAGTTAAAAAGAAGAAGGATGGGGCGCTTCTTAAAGCCGAAAAAGTGAAGGAAGAGGCAACAGCTATACCTGAAGAGGAAAAAGATGAACTAGATCGTACATCTCAGAAGGAAAAGCATGTGTCGGAAGCTGAAGCTAGAAAGGAAAAAGAAGATGCAGATCTCAAAGCTGAAAAAGAGAAACATGAGGCAGAAGTAAAAGCAAGAACGGAAAATGAAGAGGCCAATCTTAAAGCTGAAAAGGAGAAGGAAGAGGCGCAATCCAAAGCCAAAAAGGAGAAGGAAGATGCAGATCTTAAGGCTGAAAAAGCCAAGGAAGAGGCGAAAGCCAAGGCTCGGAAAGAGCAGGAAGACGAGCATCGTGAAGTTGAAAATAAGAAAGAAGAGGCAAACGCGGAAGCTAGAAAGCAAAAAGAAGAAGCAGATCTTCAAGCTGAAAAAGAGAAGATAGAGGCAGATGTTAAAGCCAGACAACAGAAGGAAGAGGCGGATCTTAAAGCTCAAAGAGAGAAAGAAGCAGCGGAAGCTAAATCTAGACAAGAAAAAGAAGATGCTGAAGTTCAAGTTAAAAAAGGAAAAAAAGCGGCGGAAGCAAAAGCTAAAAAAGAAAAAGAGGATGCGGATCGTAAAGCGGACAAGGAGAAAGAAGAGGCGAAGGCTCAGGCTAAAAAGGAAAAAGAGGAGGCCGATTTTAAAGTTCACAAGGAGAAGCAAGGGGCGGAAGCTAAAATTAGAAAAGAAAAGGAAGATGCAGATCTTAAAGCTCAAAATGATAAGCATGAAGCAGAAGTCAAAGCTAGAAAGGAAAAGGAAGATGAGGATCTTAAAGCTGAGGAAGAAAAGGGTAAGGAGGAGGCGAAAGTTAAAGTTAGAAAGGAAAAAGAAGAGGCTGATCTGAAAGCTGAAAAAGAGAAAGAAGAACTCGAGGCTCAATATAAGCAAGAGAAAGAAGATGCGGAAGTAAAAGCTAAACAGGAGAAAAAGGTAAAGGATGCTAAAGCTAGAAAGGAAAAAGTGGATGCAGATCTTAAAGCTGAAAAGGAGGAGAAAGAGGCAAAAGCTAAAGCCAGAAAAGAAAAAGAAGAAGCAGATCGTAATGCTCAAAAGCAGAAACGAGTGGAGGACGCTAAAGTTAGAAAGGAAAAGGAACAGGCAGATCTCAAAGCCCAAACGGAGAAACATGAAGCAGAAGTCAAAGCTAGAAAGGAAAAAGAAGATGAGGACCTAAAAGCTGAAGAACAGAAGAAAACTGCGCGAGCTAAAGCTAGAAAGGAAAAAGAAGAGGCAGATATTGAAGCACAAAAGAAAGAGCAAGAAGCTGCCGTTAAAGCTGCAAAGGAGAAAGAAGAGGCAGATCTCAAAGCTCAAGCGGAGAAACATGAAGCAGATGTCAAAGCTAGAAAGGAAAAGAAAGATGCGGATACAAAAGCTGACGAACAGAAGGAAGCGGCGCAAGTTGAAGCTAGAAAGGAAAAAGAAGAAGCCGACCTGAAAGTGCAAAAGAAAGATCACGATGCAGCAGTTAAAGCTGCAAAGGAGAAAGAAGAGGCAGATATCAAAGCGCAAAAAGAGAAACATGAAGCAGAAGTCAAAGCTACAAAGGAGAAGGAAGATGCAGATCTTAAAGC